AGCAATGCATTGTGTCACAAAAAGAATGAGTATTCTGGCAGCAAAGCAGGAAACACATCAGAGATGATAAAATGTCAGCAACAGAAAACTATCCCACTGCTGTCTCTACACACCTCTGGTGCAAAGCCCACTGATACGAGGAATGAGATTTCAATGTTTGATGATTCTGTGTCCAATCTGCACATAAGGGAAAGCACATATGCAAATACTAGAGAGAAACATTAGAAGCTATAATCATATTTATTTAAAAAAGTGATATCAAATACAACCATATATATTCATGCCTATTTGGAGACCATTTTCAAAATATTGAACAGTGTTGCCATTTTCCAGTCAAAACAATGACAAAGCATTTCATTTTTCCCTTTTTAAATCTTTTCATTATTCTATGCTTTATATACACAAAATAGGCAAAAATTATACAGGAATCCAGAGCCAAAGATGTGATATGAAAACAGTCTTGACAAAAAATCTTACTGAAAATAATTTTTAAAATACACAACCATTAGGCAAGAGATGAAAAATTATTCCCTTACAAAATCCTAACTCTACACTGACTTGTACACAGGGGGTTTCATGTAGCAAAAAATAAAATTTTATCAAAAGCTTAAATGCTTTAAAGACAAGATCAAGTTTTTTATCTTTTTTTTTTTCATTTTGCTTTTGCACAGTGGAATTTGAACATTACATACCTTTTTTCAAAATCTTACAAGTCCCCTCCTGAATTCACCCAGTGGCCGTACTGAGGATAAGGAAAGATTAAAATAAAAATGTAGTTATAATTATTTTTTTGACAAAGAAAATAATGTATAAGCATTTTGATTTGGTGAAAGCAGTTGAAAAGTCACATGTTCTAACTGTCTGAAGAACTGTAACTGGGGAAGGAGCTGACTATGGCAGGTTAAATACTCCAGCATTTCCTCCATCTCTGAAATACAAATAAGGCAAAATGTGTGTATGACGATTAAAAAAAAATATTGCAGAAGAGCTCATGCTTTTAAGATGAAAACCTGAATACAAGACAAAGCTACCACTTCTAAACTGAAGAACTAAATATTTGGACCCCGCCAGTTTGAATGCATTAAGTATTACTGTCACTTGAACAAGTGATTGTGTCTATGGAATAGGCATGTATTTATTACATGTTGGACTTATTTTCCTTTTTTTGGTAATGATTTGTGAATAATTATCAAGATTTGCCCGGACTTAAGTTTGCTGTATGCAAGACAGTAATGGCTTACCAAGTGAACATAATTTTCTATCTAAGCCCTTAAAAAAAGTTTCCACATCAGTTTTTCTTTTCCTTGGATTCTTATTTCAGTTCCTTCAAAAGTGATGTGCTGATAACACAAATTGCAAAATAAAACTTCTTTGTAAGTCTGAATTCTAATTCTCTGATCCTGTTCCCCTATACTGTATTTTTCAGTACAAAGGCCACCATTTTTATGTTTTCATCATTATTTGAGCCAATATTTAACACTAGAGATTTTCACATTTTAGAACTGTAACATGTTCATTTTTAAGCCTGTCATTTTTGTAATAAGACAAAGCAGCTTGCAAATTATAATATTTGTCTAGTAGACATCTGCACCCCCACCATTCTGTAAGTCTGTAATAGAAGCAATAGTCCAACATTAAAACACATCATAGATTTAAATTTGTATTGGTTATTTTCAAGTAGTCTGCAAAGTAGTAAAGTATGACAAGTAAGAAGAGTACCTTAGCTGAAAATTACACTTAAATTTATTTCAGTTCTTTGAAGGGCACAACAAGCACAAATGTTAAAGTAAGACAGTATTGTATCATACTAGTTTCAGGTCTAGAAAAATATAAGCATTTAAACAGCTAATATTTATACTTGATGTGCCTAACAAGAATTGCATAAAAGCATGACTGCATTACAACTCTTGTTCCTCCTGCCCTCACCAAGACCAAGAAAGCAGTTTGCAGAATTATACTTAGAGATGTAATTTTGGTATTTATTGTATCACTCATTCCCCCTGCCCCTTTGATTTCTACTGGAAGAAAACCATAATTTGTCCCATGGAGCATTCACTGGAAAATAGTAAAAATCTGTTGAACTAATGAAGTCTGAAATTCCCTCAAATATAACTTTTTAACAATAATATTAAAATTTAAAAAAAAAAAATAAAAAAATCAACATCTACTGCTTAACAATGAACTTTGGCCTAAAGCTGTAACATGGGAAAAAGCCCAACCCTTCTGGTTGACAGGGTAGATAACACTGGAAGTACACCCTAAATTAGTAAATTAGAAGCATAGTTGAACTGCACTTAGACTATTTATCATTGAAAGAATGCACACCAAAAAATGACAGCAGTGTTTTATTGACAGCTTCTTGGCAGGTCCAGACATTTTGAACTTGAGACCTGGGTTATAAAATACGTACTGTCAGCAATTAGTATGAGTCTTTTCCTTGGGTACAGTTCAAATAGAGACCCTGTCACTCTCTACAAGTCCTGAAAGAAGGTTGTAGTGTGGTGTGTGTCAGCCTTCAGTTTGTACCAAGGGAGGTTCAGGTTTGGTATCAGGAAGTATTTCTTCTCTGAATGGGTCATCCACCATTGGAACAGGCTGCCCAGGCAAGTGGTTGAGTCTCCTCCCTGCAGCTCTTTAAAAAGAGGTGTAGTTGTGGTGCTTAGCAACATTACATTTAGTGGTGGACTGGCCTGCATTAAGGGTTGGTTTCTTGCAGGTCTTTTCCAGTGACAGAATTACATGAATTAACAGATGTAGCTGAAATTGCTCTTGTAACTGCTTGTCAATATAGACATGCCTACCTCATTCTGCTTGACATTTCTTTAAAAATCAAACTGGTAGTTGTTGAGTGACAGCATTTCCCCACAGAGGGAAATGGTTGGCCCTGTGATCACTGACTCAGCTGCACCTTTCAGGCCTTGACATTTTATATTCCTTCCATATTAAAATACTTGGGTGATGAAGTGACTGATGATGTGACATGAAAGTTCAAAGGCAAACCTCCATGTTTTAGTGATTATAAAATCATGTAGTTGGCCTGGCTTACAGTCAGTGAGATTCAAGGGACTAAGTTGTCTGGGTTTTTTTTTTAATATAAGGCTGCTAGAGCTACAGAAATAATAATTTTAGTATGTTTTTATAATAGAGGAGGATAAAAGGTCCAAGTTCCAAGTACTGGCATCAGATTGCCAGTCTATACCTATTTATAAAAATGAGTCTTATTTTAGAATTAGTTTATGGCACAACCAAAAAAGGAAAATTAAGCTGTGGTTAATTGACAGATGAGAAAAAAAAATAAATCAGTGCTTTAGACACCTTTCTTGCTTTCAGTTTCATAGAAATTTCAAACTGAAAGCAGAAAATCACACCCTGAAAAATACAGCATTTCAAAATGGCATACGCACACATGGACTTTTAAAGTCATTGTTCAGCTATATTATTTTGAGACATTACAAATAATTACAATATGTATGACAGGATTATTTTAAAAAGACAAAAATTAGTTTTTAGAAAGTAGTGCTGTCTCATGTCAAAATCAATATTGTGTAACACATACCAGTGGTTCCGGTTGACATTGGTGAAAATCCAGCACATGGATAAGAAAAACAGAATTTAGCCCAATTATGTATAATATCCTAAGCTATCAGGAAACCATTGCTGTAGACAAATCTTTACTGAGAGGTAAAAGCCCTTTCATGTACAGTACTACTTGATGCTGAATGTGTATTTCCATCTAGCTACCATTAATTTCCTACTAATTTGAATTAAATGTTACTATTGTGCAAAGATATAACTTTAGAATACTTTGATAAAGAAATTTTGGGTTATCTTTGAAAGATTCTTAGAATGCCTGTGCTAACTGTTAATGCTTTAACTGGACTACAGCTTATATACTCTATCTACAACATATTTCCATATAATTTATATGTAAACAGAATTTGTATTTCAAGCACCATTTAGGAAAATGAAATATCTCTCTTTTGTTGCACTGAAGTTCAAAGTCAGGTTTGGTCACCCTGTTACACATTCATCCTGGATATCAAAGCAAATGTCTTACAACCAATAACATAAGCTATCTCACAAACTTTGCTTCCCAATTTTTCTCAGGATCAGAAACAACATGATAAAAAATTGTAAGGTGCGTGAATAAAGGCCATTCCTGAAAAAACTGCAACATTCTGACAGACACTCATAAAAAGCATTTCAGAAAGAACATCCACACAGGCATAAATATTCATTCTTATAAGAGCTACTTCCACAGGGGTCATTTCAGATTGCAGGAATGCACCTTATGCATGTGGCACTGACTTTATGGCACCTAAATCCCCTCCTACCTTCTCCTAGTCTCAGTTACAGCTCTTTCATACTGAAAAGCCATAATGAAGGGTTGAGCTTGAAGAGGAAAAGACTCTGGAAGAGGTAGAAAATAAAACCTGTTCAACCCAATTGAGTATATGCTGCTTTTGAAGTAAAAAGACAGTGGCTTTAACAAGAAAGAGCGTAAGAAAACAATAATTAAAAGCAAAACAAGAAAACAAAACTCCAAGCCAAATAAGGCAAGTTATCTGCTAAAAGACAGTACATTAAACATGGGCCTAAAATTTTACAATTGGAATTGAAGGTAAAACCAAAAATTATTATAAAGTCAGAAATCACTGAAAGACTCGGGAGCAACATTATAGTCAACAATACACTGAAAATTCTCACTTGAATTGAAAAGTATGAAATTTATGGATTCTTCCTTGTTTCTCCTGCAGAATGGATAATTTCAAAAGTAGACAGCAGGATCAAAAAGCTGATGTTAAGTCATTCATAATAAAGAATCACAAAATAATTTAATATTAATGGAATTTAATTACTCTCCCCATTTTAGAGTGATCTATTAAAAAGAATTTATGAACATAACTTATTATTTGTATCTGTTTTTACATTAGTACTGAAGAAAATAATTTGATTCTGTTTTCAGCACCATTTGAATCTTCTATAGAACTCTTCAAAACAATTTAAACTTGCTTTTTTAATGCAAGCTTTAAATGCTTTACTTTTTTAAGTTACAGCTGCTACCCTTGTCTGACTTTGCATGAATAGTTCCAGTAATTTTAACACCACTACTCCTGTGAGCAGATGTTTTGTAGTAGGAGTGCTACAGTTCTCTACATTAGTGCAATCATTTTTGTATTTGCAGATCCTCTCTAAACTGACCTTCAGCAGCCCCCCTTTCATTCCTACTTCCAGAACTCTGAAATGAACCCTGCTTGTGCAACATTCACACAGTAGAATTTTAATGGAGACTTAGCGTTTTGACAATAAAAGGGAATAAAATGATGTTATTTCTCCTCTTCCGAATTCAAGTGGTTTCTAACAGACTCCAGAGACATATTCATGGCTGCTTGAAGCATGTCTTCTTCGCTCATATCACCACCTAAAGACAATACATGCAATACAAGCTGCAATAAATTCACAGTTCTTAATCATAGTTAAATGATTTTGTTGTTCCTTTCGTCCACACCCACATTTTTGTACCCCACTGACAAAATGGGTTTTGTTTTTAAAATCACTGAACATTTTGCAAATAGCATTTCACCAACAATAGTCACTTTGTAACAATACACACTGATTTTGGATCACCAACACCTAACACTGGTAAGGTCTACACACATTCTTCTGAAAATTGGTTCCAGTAATTTTGTCAGATACCAATCCAAGTTGTCATACCACTTTAAAAGTAATTTAGAAAACAAACTGTTGGGGTAATAGCAACACTCTTCAGTTAGAAATAGGATATTGACATTCAAAGGGAAACAGGCTTTTCAGGAAAGTGATCCTTTCCTTCACTCCCAATATAATGGCTGTAATACGCAATCGGAATGGCTGCTCAAGTGACGAAATAGGCAGACAAGGAAAATTAAGAAACAACACAAAGATGAAAAAGGCAGGTTAAAAAACAATACCTGTGCCAGGTTCTGGAGTGCTTGAGCTAAGAGTTGCTTTGTCCTGTAGGTTTGGGGTCTGATCTTGCTGCTGTAGCTGTTGTTGCTGTCTGAAAGTGTCATGCATTTGTAAGAGAATAAGATTAACATCAGCATGAGGCCTGAATCAAGTTCATTTCATTGTAAGGAAGGCGGGGAGTCAGAATTAGAAGCTGTTTGGTACCATATCACCCCTGTGCCCTAAATCTCTTTCCTCATTCCACCCTGCTAACCTTCAGGTACCTATCTTCCCAGTATTCTACTCCAAGCCACAAGACTATTTTCCCAGGATTCAGAAGTTCTGCATTCTTATCCAACCATGTGAAGTCTAACTCCTCCCATCCATAGCATTTCTCCCTGGTCTTTATTTCCTCTATTGCTATAAGACAGAGATAAGGAAAAGCTACAATAACTCGACTATCTATTAAGAAGGTTCACCAGAACAGTAACATAAAATATGTACAATGCTTTTGTGTGATGCACATGAGAAGCATCATTACCCAAAGCAAAGTCTTAAGAGAAATAATACTTTTTGTTGGGAAGGTAGTCGCAGAAATTTACAGGATTTCATTTAAAATACTTCTATAATGTATGTTTTCTTTTCTTTCTTCACAAGACTTTTAACAGTAGCAAGACTACTGCGTTATTAACAAACACTTTCTTACTAGAGGTTTCTTTGTAGGAACCACCTGAGAATAGTGAAATTCAGGTACTGTTAGGAAATCATGTTAAGACAGAAAAATTGAGCTGGACCTCAGTAAGAAACCCATCCACATCCCAAAAGCACTGACAAATACAACATGTACTTTCACATGCAGTTTTCTATCAGCTACTTTACTTTTCAAAATATGCTTGTCTTCTCCTTCGCAGTTCTTCTGAAGAAAGGGAGTCTGTCTGACTGCTGTGAGACGACTGAGGAACATTCTGTGGTAACGAGCCTGAGAGCTCACTTTGACGGCTACCTAAAAGCAGAACATGCCATAGCCTACTAATTATAATTTACATAATTATAAATATAATTATATAATTTTATGTAATTAATCCTACTAATTTACTAATTATAGTAAAATGAAGTTATATTTCATTTACTAACTTAAAAAATGTTTTCAAACTTGAGAAGAAAAAATACTTCTTGGAGAACTAAGCACCTAAAGTAATTTCACTTGATATTCTCTCTCATCACCTAAGGACTGTTTCCCTTTCCTCCTGCCACTCTTTGCCAATTTGTTCTTCCTTCCTAAGAATCAATGCCAACATGCAAATTACAACTTTTCAAAAAGCAGGATGGAGATAGCTACAGGCAATCCTGGATTGTCCTTCCATGCCTCACACCAGTCCTTCCAGAGATAATGACACATGCTGGAAAAAGTGCCTGAGAAATTGATTCCAGGAGGTGCTTAAAGCACTCTAAGAAATTTATATGAGCACTGCACCTTGCATGCTGAGCTGAATGGCTCTGCGAAGATCAGCTTCTTCATCCTCCATATCAATTTCCTGCCTACTTAGAGCCAGGGCTCTCTGAAAATTCTCTTCATCTTCGTCTAACATGCCTGTTCCATCAAACGGATGGTTAACTTCTATTGCTTGGTCCACATCACTTCTGGGTAGCCTGTGAAATTCATACATTCTTAGCAAAATTCAGATAGAGATTATATTAAATTTTATCATGAGGTTTAAATTAGTATGTTCTGCCAGTATAAAGCTAGGTTTAACTTTGGGAAAAACATTTTCGTTGTAAAAGTCTGTTGTGTTAACAAGCATTTTCCTGAAAAATGAAAAAGCACAAAAGGGCTGCAAGCAACTGCAGAGGGACTTGAACACATAATTGCCACATACTACCCTCTAAAGCAATGCACATGTTGACAAGAAGCTGTTAGTAAATTGTCAGAAAACGATAAACCCACAAAAAGCCATGACATGTTCTTCAAACCTACTGCTATTTAAAGTTACACAAGCAGAAGAGAGTGCATATGGTTTCCTTCTCAGCAGGCCTTGAAGGCCACTCCAAAACAACAGAACCTATGTAACACTTTACATGTCACTGCTAATTATTCCATCAATTTACATCATCAATTTAACAAAGGGGAAAAAATAATTAATTCCTCTGAGAAGTCTAAAGCCTTTTTATCAGTATGCAATTTGTTCACTACGAAAATTCAATTAAATAATTGCAGAAGCACATAAAATACTGACTTTATATGCTTTCAGTGATGTTTTATATTAGCAGAATGCATCAAAAATGAGCAGCACCATAACATTACAGTGAAATTATTCCAAAAGGGAATGCCGTATGATTTATATGATGTGGAATTCAAAGATCAGTTTCTCATTCTTTTCTACTTATGACAAAATGCATGGAGCAGTCTTAACTATAGAACAATTACTATTAACCATAGTTCATTAGACTTGCTAAACCATTTTCCTCCCTAAGTCAAAAATCTGCACTATAATATGCTTATGCACATGGAAAGACTCAATCGTTACCAAGACAGCTTTTACCCACTTAAAAATACATCTGTATGTTGCCTATCAACTTGCTTTTACTGGGTGCAATGGCAGTAAACATTGAACTAAATGTACTTGTTATTACTTCCAAATTACAAATCAATCATACTGAACATTATTGAAACAAAATCTTTATTTACCTTACCTCTGATCTCTTGACTGTGCTGCCTCTTCTCCAATCAATTTTGGTCGCTGCATCTGCTGTACCCGAATCATCTGCAGCAGCTGATCTGCCTCACAGTCTGGCAGGTCACCTTTTACTACAAATATGGAATAACCTGAGAAAAAGAAACCATAAGTCTACAGCATTAAAGTGCAGATATAAACACTCTAAAATGTACACTATATGGAATACAATCATGTGCAATATAAGATGCAAGACTCTACCTTCCATTATAAGGACTTGGGTTATTTCACTATTTCAATCATAAAACTGTGAATAGTTAACTGAATGCATAAGTTCTAAGAAATAATGATTATTACCTACTTTTAATTAATGAGATTTAACATCTACAAGTTACTATTACCTTCCTGTTGTAATTGAGCCAAGAAAAGTGCAAGATATGTATCTGATATTAGTTCTGGACCCATCAAGAGAGAGTTCAAGTTAAACCACTGTAATTAAGGAAAAAAAAAAAGGTTGAGAGAACAAATTAGCATGAAGATTACTCAGTAATCCATTCTTGTACATTGTGGTAATTTTTTATTATGGAATATCCGAATAAATTTAGTAAAATAAATTATCAAATAAGAGTTTTTTTGAGCATAATACCTATACTGCTAAAGGTTATCCTTCAAATAATCTAACAGGACATGTGAAGTGTGGATATTACTGCATGCTCTCTCCTATTACTGAATACTGGTAGCAGGGAAACATGTTAACACAGATAATCCTTAACCACTGTATTTTGATTTATTTCAGACATCATTCTAAAATTCTGCTTAATCCTAGTTTTAAACCTGAGACTAATGCAGTAAGAAATCCTTCATCAGTTAATGATACGTGTTAAGAAATTATTAGATACAGGAAACAGACACCAAATTATTTCCATTAAATACTTTCATTGAACATTACACCTTAGCTGGTGATACTGAAAACTAGTGTTTACCCTTCCTGCAGATAATTTTTAAACTTCAAAATTAATAAAAATTTACTCAAATTTAATATGCTGAGAGTACAGCACTATATTACAACAGGGGACTCTTCCTATAGACATACACAACTCATTTCTAGTTCCCCAAAGACCCTAACTAGTAATTTATAACACTTCTAAACAGAAACAGTATTATACTTACATAAAACTTCTAGAAAGAAAATATATTCAATGTGAAACAAAATATTCTACCTTTAAACTCCCATATAGTTTCCAATGAAGCTAAAGAACTTTTTTTTTAGACCTACTCATTCAGTATTATGCAGTTTTAACCAGAAAGCACCATTTTAGTTAGTGGAAGGAGAATTCTATCTCCATTCTCACAGAAATGCACTGATCTATCTACCCACACTTTCACATATGCACCCACACGTTTGCAGCCAGGCCCATACAATAATGTAAGTGACTATCTACCACCCTGTCATGCAATCACTTAATTTTCCAAAAACATTCTTTGCCACTAGGAAAGGGTAAGCAGACCAACAGTGTAGAAGAGTAACAAATAAAAAGTTTTGTAAAAAATTTGATGGACAGACTACAGTAACTTTTAAAAGACATTATGGAGGAGAAAGTTCTATGAAACTGATTTTGCTTTAACTGTGACAGAGGAGAAGCAGGTCAAATAAATCTAAGTCAACCCATTTTGTCGAATTTTCCTCACTACCCTCTAGATAACAGACACCTGGTATTGTCTTCATGTGGTTACAAGCCATGTAAAAAATTAAAAAGGCATCCTCCCTCCAGCTTAGGATGTCTTGGGTTAGAACACTGTCTCATAAAATTCCACCCAACATGGTTGCATTGTAGAATAAGGAGCATTTCAATAATTTTAAGATAACATCCAGCCTTTTTGATATCAAATAAACAAAAAATGCCTGTAAACATTAGCCATAAGTTTAAACTAAAGCAGAACAGTAGAGATTAGTTTTCTCACTCACAGGTAATTTTTCTTTTTTTTTTTTTTTTTAAATCTGAATGACAACATAAATAGCCAGAACTTGCAAAAATGAACCAAATGGGCAAACTGTCCTGTCCCACTATTACAGACTCTGAAAGCTGTTTCCCATGAAAAAAAATCCCGTAGAAATTAAACACCAAATCAGTTCACGTTGTAGAAAAGCTTATGAAGATCCAGAAAAATGACTGGCTACTGAAATAAAACACTGAATTGGTGGTAAGGGACATGGATATGAACTGAGTTGGTACATATGTACCATATACTAATATGGCCATTCCTTACCTTTAGTAACTATTTCCTGCTTAGAATATAATTGTTTCAAAGTTTTCTATAATAGTACAAAGTTCTACTTCCCCAAACCTCATTCTGCTGGATACTCTGAGTATCCATTATTGTCCATCAAAACGTTGAACTTTTCCTTGTATCTACTGCCCATTTAAATAAACAAAATGATTTTACAATGCCAATATCTTACTGCATTAAATCAAGTTTTTGAATTCTGTAGGGATCCTAATCATTGTCCAGGATTCCCCCACCCCGTCAAGTACAATTTTTCTTCAGTATTTCATGCAGGAGAGAAAAATAAAACAGCTTAAGAAGTCACATAAGACCCTCCCAGAGCTTCAGCTCCCTGAGGACACTAGGGAATTGATCCTACTGTCTTTTCCCAGGCTAACATTTACAATGACCCACCTGGCACTTTTGTGATAAAACAAACATTTACCCTTTTTTTAATATGGGACACTATTAAAACAAACTGCACAAAAGCTTGCAAAAGGGAAGCACAATCTACTTGCAATCACCTTTCCACACCCATTTCTGAAGTCAAATTTAAAATAAAAAAAGACAGTGTCACCTGTTTTCCTAACTTTCGAACTGTAAACCAGTGTTCCTTATAATTACAAATAAATGATTTTTCATTTCTGTAAAAAGAAAAACAAAAGGTATAAATAAAATTAAATACTCTAAAATCAGAGTACATAATAATGTTTAAGATCTTTGCTATCACTAATTTGAACTTATATAATAAAATTTCAGTACTACAACTACTGATGTTACATTACAGAGTACTCATACTGCTTTATAACATTCAGGAAATTGTCAACATCACTGAAATCTCCATATACCTGTGATTCTACAGATACTAAAATATGAAGGCACAGAGGACAGACGTTCTCATGCACCCCCAGAAAGGAAAAAATAAAAATAAAAATAAAATAAATCAAAGCCAGGGGGTAATACAAACACCAGAATGCAACAGACCATGAAGCAGCAATTTTAAAGAAAGATTTAAAACACATATTAAGGGTATTTTTTCTGTAAAGTAAAAACAGGGTGCTAAAAGTCTTACATAGGATCGATCCCAAGTCTCTGGTACTCTGGGCTGTTGAAGAGGATTAGTTCTAAACCCCACACTTTCAAGGCATTGCTTATAACCTGTCAAAAAAGAACACTTTTCATAAGTCAGACCAGTTCAAATCTAAGCTCAAGCAATACAACCATCTTAGCTTTAGCTACACTAAACAATTATACTGTTTTCATAAAACTTACATTTCAAAACATTGCCAGGAAACCTAGGAATCACATTACTCAAAATGCAATGGTCATGAATCTATATGCAAGCATAAAACTCATAACTTATCTAAGGAAAAGTAACAAAACCATGATTTAACTCATCTCTGTTAATGAGCTTACTCTGCTAAACAAAGCTGTAATTTCACCTTCCACAGAGACTTCATAAATTGTCATCTACTTGCAGTGCACTGCTCTACCCTACTTCCCCCCACCACATATAATCTCAATCTTTCTTCACAGTAACTGCTGGAGATTTTTTTTTCACTGGATTATCATAGGATCAGTCAGTTTATTGAGCTGAGCACCAACTCTTTTACAACAACTTCCTAAAGCTACACAAAATAATACTGTTAAGAGCTTCTAAGCTAACAATTCAAATTCCTTCCAGCAAGCCAACTGTGCCTCAAATGACAAAGCAATGACAGGACAAAAAAGTAGAATGAGGAAACATTTTTTTTTTCAGCTACTGAAGCAGCCCAAAGATAGCAGGAAAGCCAAACTGTTAATGGTTTCTTTTTAGAAAGAAAAGCAGACCAATCGACCATGAGGAAGAGAGGCTCTTAAGGAGTCTGGCAAGTACCACTGAAAGCTTGGGAGACAGACAAAGATGTCTAGAGCTCTAATCTAGGCAAAAGCCCCAAGTTGGTGTTCAAAACTTTTTTTTTTTTTTCTGGTCTATGTATTTATTATTGATTACTTTTCCCTTATGGCCTTAAAAAAAAGCAAAAACACCCAAGAAAATCTGCAGATCACTGTGATAACACTGTAACCATTGCTAAGGGCTTTCTGTCTATACTTTGAGAAAGCCATCTGAATTCTGCTCCTTCACCTACAGTCTGTGGGAGCCAAGGTCTACACCTGAAGTGCCCACAGCTTAGAAGTCAAGCTTATTGCCAGCAGGTGTCATTTCACAGCTCCTGAATCCACGTTTCTCTGATGTGTTTGAGGGCCCATGAACTGAAGAACTGCAAGTCACTGTTCTTAATGGAAAATACTCTGAACATTTGGAAGTCCAGCACTTAATCCCATTAAGCCCATGAACTTGCAACTAGATGGAAAAGCTCAATGCTATTTAAATGATATAAGAGAACATTTATTGCATAAATAGAAAATGGTGTCAGAAGAGAGCTGTGCTTACTTGAATTGAGAAGAATCCACTATCATCCATATTTACAGAAGGCTGCTGCTCAATGTGAAGTTGAGAGGGAGAAAAGGGAAAAATGGTATAAGCATAAAAGGTCAAAAATAATTGAGTTTTGAAAATAAATGTAAATGCAGATTCTTAAAGCAATGACTTATGTCTTTGTCTGTAAAGCTGATTACAATGCCTCAAATAGGCATATTAATTTAAAATTCAAACCTTTAGAGATGTTCAGTACTTAAAGGGCAGACAGACACAGGAATTTCTGTTCCTAACTGACACTGGCTACAAAAACAAAAGGCAAATTACTGATCCTCCTCATCATGACTGATCTTCCTACTCATAAGATGAAGGTAATGTAGCTTTTTGTAGAATTATCATAAAGTTGTACTAGTAACACTTGAAAATGTCACATCCAAGATACATGAATGAAAAGGCCTATAAATTTAAAAAGCTTTAGCACTAGAAAATTAACCTTGTCTAGCAATGCAAGAATAACAGGTCTGTGCCACACAATATAACATTTCAGGCAACATCAAGCAACCTCAAATGAAGGTAATTTTACCTGTAAAAAAGTCCTGTATTCTTCACTAGATACTCCTCCCTCTGCCATTCTCATCCTTTCTTCCTCATCCAATTGCTGTGCAATAGAGGATAACTCAACAGGACTAAAGTATTCCCCTTGCAGCAAATTATTCAGACAATGTTGAGCACACAATGAGCCTTCTTGCTAATAATGGAAGAGAAAAAATTACCAATGGGAAAAAGAAAATGCAGAAAAAAAAACAGGTTATGCACACTCTGTAAAATGACTCAACTCTTTCATTCTGGCAAACTTCCTGCCCTCCCCATTCAGGCAAAATACCATATATTCTTTCAATCTATTACATTACATTACATTACATTACTGCAAGCTCCCCCATCAACTTGAGGGGAAAAAACCCAACATGCATCCTACCTTATTTCCTCAAGAGAAATATATTTAATGTAAAAGTTGTTTTTGAAAACACCATAAATATTGGCAACCCATATGACCCAACAAATCACACAGAGACCCTGCAACCATCAGAACAAAGGATTCTATCCTCTTCCAAAGTATCAATGCTTGAAAAATCAAACAGTTTAGATCTCTACTTCCTAGTAACAAACATTATCTATAACAGACAAGCTCATTATTTTTTAACTTTTCTCCCCTTCCAGGGGTGACTACTGGTAATCTGCTCTACATGTTATTGCCAAGAAAGTGATTAGGAGCTGGAGGAAGAGAAAAGCTCATTTTTCACATGAAATTTACAGATAGGAAGTAGATAAAATAGGGTCATTCCACTAGCTTGAAAATGTTGAAAACAATGATGGGGAAACAAGAAAAAAATTATTAATTTCATCATATTAAAAAAAGATTTTTTTTATTTATAGACCCTTTAAATAAAAACCACTTCAGATATTTTGTTGTGCACCCAGCACCTTACAGATAATAGAGCTATAGTGTAGCATTTTTAAAATATCAGCACAAATTATAAAAGGCTGATTAACAATGTCAGTCATTTTAAAATTTTCAAAATTCAAATTTTTTTAAAATTTTAAAAAATCTCTGATCTGAATGAATGCATGACAGACTCCATCATTTTCATATGTGAGATAAAATATTTTCTTGTTAAGAAAAACAAAAACACAATGTAAACCAGCCAAAGCAATATCCATGAAAAGCAACCTTTTTCTACAAATATCTGAAAATCCAGGTGCAAGACAAGTAACATCAGTTTTAAAATCCTGCTTTTCTCTTTCACCCCTTCCTCAAGCCTGACCCACAGAGACTAAGAATACAAGACTATGCCTGTGAGGAATATTCTTTAAAATTCCAGAAAAGCATCATACAGATCATATGTAGGACCTTCCCATGATCCCACTTACAGCTGAAGCCTCAAAAGTTCCCTTTACTCTAGAATCTTCCTATGGCTTCATCACTCAGTTGAGCAATGAGTTATTAAAGCTACACTGGCTGTACAGCCAGGCTTCAATGGAATCCAGAAACCTCCTCCAGTTCATGCCCTTCCTGCAACAAGAAATACAAGACTAAACACCAGCTTCTGTCCCTCTAGGACCACATTCCTGCTGCTGGTCATATGACAAACCTGTAACAGAAGAATCTGCTCAATAAACACAGGCTTCCCCACTAGAATTATATAAAACTGGTTTACAAAGAGAGAGATAGTAAAATACAATATTACTTTGAAAATCAGTTGCATTACATGCAATCTTAATTTCACTAAAAGGACCTTTCTGTATTTGTACAGTATTATCTGAAAGCAATAAGCCTTACTTTGCATATCTAAAAGTTATACACATTATTCGCCAAATGCAAAAACCAGGTCCTACGGTATTTAACTGACACGAGCTTCCAATGTTTTGTACAGAGAAGACTGCTTCTTTTCCATAACCTGAAATTCCCTTATTGATACCTCTCCTGACATAAAATGTTGCCCTGCTTTCAGTGTTTTCAATTACTTGTATCTTATCAAGGACAAACTTCTAAGATTGGGATTCCTGAAGCCCCATACTTAAATCTTGCTTTCTGCAACTGTCATTTCTCTCTAAAAATGCCACATTGTTTTGTTAAATTTTCTTAATAAATACCAAGTTTCTCATGTTTTTTTATCAAAACAACTGGGGTGTGCAGACTCAGGAACACGCAGCACTTGTTGGGGGTGAAAAATATCCCGTAAGAAAAAAGGACAGTAATTCAGTTAGATTTTCCCTAAAATAATAGCAAATAAAAATATTTGGTGCTCCAACGTAAAACACATACAGATGCACTTTAACTGTTTTACTAACTTAACAGGGAGCAGGTATGTTTCACGTGAGAGAACTGTTTACTCACCCTTCCCCAGAATGCGTAGGAACTACAAGTTACCATCACCTTGAAACTCTGAATGTACTATGCTTTGTCACTTCAATTTCAGAAGTTTTGTTATTAAACTAGAAAGCAACTTAGCAATAAGAAGTTAATTCATACCGTCATAGGCTAGGCCATGTAAGAAAAGAGTACATTTTGTTAAACTGTTTTCAAAGCCAGACTGAAGGTCACTGAAGCAGAGGCCAGCACGGCTGAAATCCAACACTCACCCTCTGACCAGCAGCTACTTAACACCACAACACTTGCCAAATTTTGCAACCCAAACCTAATCAGAAAGAAAACTTTCCATTTTTTACGGATTTCAGAACAGCAACTTTTTGAAGAAAGATACACAGCTATCTTACTTGACTTCTTAAGGAAGTCAATCCTACACATCAAAACAAAGTAAGAGAACTAGCATTAAGACCAACACAATAAAGATGGAGAGACACTGGGAAAGTGCAAGAAGAAAAAATCCAATTATTATCTGACCAGCATTAAAACAGAAATAGGTCATATTTGGGAACCTGGATAAATCACAGCAGTTCACAGAAGCATTTGTCCTCCAAAACAGAAAATACTGTCCGGCACACCGAAGCACACTATATGAACTACGATTTCTTTATGGCTCTCCCACTCCCTGCTCATTACACCACAGCCAAGCCGGGCTCGGTGACGAGATGGGTCTGAGAGCACAGGGACAGCCCTGCCTACCGCTGCATATCCTCATACTCATTCCTCAGCCACGCGAGCTCTCTCTCAAGAAACACAAGTAGCTGCAGCCTACACCGCCCCACACTTGCGAGTTGTTTCCGCAGACCCCAGAACACAATCCGCATGCCAAAGCGGACGCCGAGGCTCAGCCCTGACTCTCCTTTCCCTGTAGGGCTGGGCAGCGTCCAGCTGGGACGGGCCATGGGCACAGACATCATCAAGCGAGGGCCGCGGCTCTCCCCCGAAGCAGAGGACAAGGCACTGCCTAAGGCTGGAGGGATGCCAGGGAGGGGCAGCGCGGCCCAGCCCGACAAAGGCCGAGCGCACCCCGGGGGCTCCGGGGGCTGCCCGGCGGTCAGCGCGGGGACGGGAGGCCCAGCCTCCGCCCCAGCAGCTCCTCAGAGAGAGCTCGCGCGCCTTCCCCGTCTCGGCGGCCCGGACGGCCACAACCGACGGCGCTGTGCCCAAGGCGGACGGGCAGCGGAGCGGACGGCAAGACTCCCCCCCGACCCTCCCTGGCTCCCTCACTCACCCGCTCGTGGAAGATCGACTCCATGTTTACTGTGGCGGCCGCAGCCCCCGCCCCACGTGACCCGCCCCACCAATCTCAGCGCCCGCCGCCCCCCGGCCGCGCGGGGCAGGCCCCGCTGGCTGCGCCTGGCGCAGCCTCTGCGCTTGCGCCCCCTGCCGGGGGGGAGGCCGGCGGGCTGAGCCGCCGCTGGCCGCGAGCGCCCCAGTGCGGCAGCCGTGCCCGCAAGGAGCGACACGCACCGCCTGCTCGCTCCTCCGGCGGAGCCCCGCGCCGGCCCCGAGCCGCTCCCGCACCGAGAGGAGCAGTGCCCGGCACCGCCCGCTCCTGCCTTGTGCTCACCAGCTGCCCACCCTTTACACCCTCATGGACCGCTCACAAAGCTGCAGGATCTGCTTAACCACTATTCTAAACAAGCCTACAGAGGAAATTCAAAAAGAAACTTAATCAGGTTCAGTAAAAAAAACGGTCAACCACATTCTGAGTTTTTGGAATAATCCTTTAAAGGCTAGTTCATTAACTAGCAATAAATACACGGATTCCCCACCATACACAACAATAACAACACAAATGATTTTTGCATAGTTTATTCTATAATTCTTCCTCTCTTTTCCAGAGTAGGGAACAACATTTTCTCAATGCTTATGGACTAATGAAATTCCTGAATGCATATTAGTCACGTAAATAAATCAACTTCAAAAAGTAACATCACAAATTAAACTAGCACTGATGAATTGCAGATATCCTTTACTGTAGTATCCTCTCAGGGTAAAAACCATATTCCTGTTCTTTCAATATGTGAGATAAGATGATGGCTCAAACAAAAATGTCTTCCTTTTCATTATCAGCTTCTATCTCCATGTTACTTCTTCACCAGGCTTCAACTCCCTGTGTAGAAAAAAAAATAAGAGGGGAGAGACTAAAATTAGTATCTTTATTTTTAGAAAAATTATTAATAAATATAAGTGTTTATTTTTGTTAGTTAATATTCAACAATAGCTTAATTGAGAGTTACATAAAAATTTAACTTTCCTTGCAATTGTTGTCAGTTAAAAATCTTTCCATATTGATAAACTTCCTACTTCTTTCAAAAGATTCAATGGATTGACTCCTCTGAATTTCCATTCATTTAAATGGAAGCACAGAGCAACTGACTTCTAAGGAGTTAAAAGACTTTTAATTGGATCAAAAATTAAAAATTCTACTTCTTTTAAATATAATAATCCATTTTCCACTTTAGTGGAAAGACAGGTGTGAAATGGTTATTTTTTAGTTATGCTTACAACTGTAAAAAAGCACTGAGAAGCCCTTTGAAAAATATAAATGTAAGTAAGAGGCATCATAAAGCATACCTTTTATATAATAAGCTCTTGTTTCTGAAGGCAGACAATCTTTCATCATTCCATCTGTCCAAATAGCATCCAATCACAAATCCTAAGGGAACAAGGATGTGAACCCAGTGTTCACGCACAGCTTGGGCAAAATTCACCATGACTGCTAGAAAGAAAAGTGTAACAGGTAAGAGGTACTAATAAACCTGTACTTGGAAACTATTGCATGCTTGGCACCTTTACTCTCACTAGGATTCTACAATGACATAATACACATGACAGCTGTCAAACACTTTCTAGGAGACACACACTGTTCTCAAACCCATACCTGGGTTTCTTAGAAATAATCCTAACTGTTGACATTGGGAAAAAGGATTTCATCCTAAAACAGGAGAGAAGTAGAACATCTCTTTAATTTTCTCATTAAAGCAACTCTACAGAAGTTAGCTGCTCTGCAAAACATTAGAAACACTTAAATAACCACAACTCCTGTAGATGGACACTTTACTTGTGTCAAGTCTCAGAGACAAGTTGTGTACTTAGGGTGAGCTGACAGATAAGAAAGGGAATTTCTAAAACAAGGAAGATCATTTCTAAAATCACAGAATGACAGAATTGTTACGGTTGGAATGGACCTCTGGAGATATCCAGTCCAACCTCTCTGCCAAGGCAGGATCACCTGAAGCAGATGACAAAGGGCCACGTCCAGGTGTTTGAATGTCTCTAGAGAGGGAGACTCCACGACCTCTCTGGGTAGTTGTTCGAGTGCTCTGCCACCCTCAATTTACAGAAGTTCTCCCTCGTCTTGAGACGGAATTTTTCGTGTTTTAGTTTATGGCCACTGTTCCGTGTCCTGTCGCTGGGCACCACTGAAAAGAGTCTGGCACCCGCCTTTGAGATATTTACATGCATTAATAAGATTCCCTCGCAGTTTTCTCTTCTCCAGACTAAAAAGGCCCAGCAAACCTTTCCAACCCAACCAAAACCTTCCAGATTAGGGAATTACAAGCGATTCCAGCGGAGTCTGTCACACACAGCCGCGGGCTCGGAGGCCCGGCCGGTACCGAAGGCGAACACCGCCACCGTTCCCGCCTCAGCCGCTGTGGGGCGGCCACGCACCCAGGCCCTGCGGGAGCTGCCACACACCGCCCGCCCCGGGCCCGGGAGTTAACCCGCGACACGGCCCCGCCACCTCCCGGCTCAGCCGCCTCCGGCCTGCCCGGGACCCCGACCGCCCCTCCACGGACAATAGCGCCATAAACCCCACGGCTGAAGGGCGCTTCCGCCAGCCGCCGTGTCCCGGCCGAAGGGGCAGGGGACAGGGCAAGGCGCTCCCAGGGAGGTCCGACAGCAGTTCCACCCCCAACGCCGCTGCCACTGTCACTGCCGCCCCACACGCGACACCACCATTACCGCTGCTCGCGCCGCCGCCGGGACCCGCAGCGGCCGCACCAAGGGCACGGGGACGGGCGGGCCGGAAGACACCACGGGCCGCGCAGGGGCGGGGGGGGAGCGCCCTCCCCCCGGCGGGCTCGCGGTGGTTCCGCCCGCTACCCTTCCGCCTGCTGCCCCTCCTCCCCGCCTCCCGCAAGATGGCGGCAAGCGCGGCGCGGGTTGGGGGTGGTTGAGGGCGGCAGGTATCGGCTCTTTCACATCATCCTCCTTTTCCCCTTGGTCTCCTCGTCTCGGACTGAAGTGGGCGCAGGGCTCGCCCGCGTGACGCCGTCCCCGCCCGGCGAGACTCGTCCCGTCTGGCCAGACTCGGGCGCCGGGGCCCGGTGGGGCGCTGGAGCCCCGAAGCCCCCGGCCCACCCCGCGCTGTGCCCCTGGTCGGGCGGGCCCTGGGTTTGCCATCTCTGGGTGCCCCCATCCGGCTCCGTGGAGCTCCTGTTAACTGCACTGCTCCTAGGGATCCTTTTTTTTAATTATTCTTAATGTATATTGTAGAAAATCAACCTCACCTCTTTCTAATAAGAGCTGCAACAGTAGAATGTTAATACCTGAAACTTAATTGGTATCGAGCAGCTGTGCTGAGCAGTATTAACACCCTTAGCCTGCATATTTTCAGGAATATGTGAAGCTAGGTCTGAGTAACTAGAATTTTTCTTTGTGTCAGTCAATGAAACATTTTGTCCCCCATTTAGATTAGTTCTTTTGGAGAGTAAACACTTGGAGAGGAAAATGACATCGATTATCAAGTTGACTACGCTCTCGGGAGTGCAGGAGGAATCTGCCCTTTGCTATCTATTGCAAGTAGATGAGTTTCGTTTCCTTTTGGACTGTGGCTGGGATGAAAACTTTTCTATGGATATTATTGATTCTCTGAGGAAGTAAGTAGTTCAGTTCATACACCTTTTTTTAAAATAGGTCTTGGTCTTGAAAGTTTTCAAAATTCCGTGCAGTAGTATAATGTACAGTGTTGCTAAATGCAAAATTGTTCTCTTTTTTGTTTTGTTTTGTGTATGTTTTACCTGAAGGGAATCACACGGCTGAAACATTTTCTGTAAAAACTTGGGATTTTTTCT